AAGTTATCGTCACTCAACGGATTGTATTGAAATTGGGTTTATCGTAAAGTTGTTTTTTTTATCATAGTACAGGGACAGTACTTATCAAGGTGATCTTTTTAGGGTGGTCTGGAAATTTAAAGTAATACTGGGGGATGCGTCGGAAAAATAGAGAACGATGTTCAAAATTGTGCTTTTTTTAATGATTACTATATCCTTTTTTTTTTCTTTTTTTTTTTTTACGTGAATTCAGCAGCAACAAATGAGAAAAAAGTATGACGAGTTTCTTTGCCATCGTAAAATACAATGGCATCGGTTCAAAGTTTTACATGGGACGATATAATGTACTTGCGTTTTCAATTAAAACCTAATGGTCATCACGACTGCAAGCAATATAAATCGACCGTCACTTACAGAGATAGATTTTTGGGCTGCCTTTTACTTCCACGTACGTCCTTGACACGAATAACCATTATTTGAATTTCAATTACGGCCTAATACACGACTTGCCCTATTAAACGCAGTAAACAAGTTGACGTGGCATTGTACAAGTAGATATATCCATTGCTCCGGAATCTTAATTTTACGTAGACTCGATACACTATACGTGCTTCGCGCATACATATATTTTAATCATCAATAAGCATCTCACTTATCAAAAAAAAAAAAAAAAAACATAATTTCGCTTACAATTTATAACTTATTTGTAACAATAACAAAATAAACACAAATGAGTCGTAATTTAAAAATAATTTTTTTCTTTTTCAAATATGTATCGTGCACTACGATCATTAATAAATCATAAATTATTGATTTTGTATTACGTTGGATTTGATTCCACATTAACTTTAATCAAATAAACATATTTGTAATGTTGTTTGTTATACAAGGACAAACGTAATGGTAATGTATTTCAGATCGTATATTACAAACATATTTTATATAACTATATTTCATTGCGATTAATTTTTAGAAAATCCCACCAAAAAAAAACCATGTGATATCCTAACTAATCACACGACTACTAAAGACTTCTGTCACGTGGACATTAGTATTTCAAGAAAATTATTTCGATTGGATTGACAGCGTTGATTGAAGAATTTATTACTCAAGAAAAATTTAAGCTTTCACTCATAGAGACTTTATTAAATTTTACATGGTAATCTATCTCAACATTATTGAAAATTTAATTGTATTCTAAAGAACTAACTTAGGGATGAGCCAAGAACTATTGTAGTCTTTTTCGGATAATCAATTGGCTTTTTAAAATTGATTTGTAAGTTTATACAATTTATTTTTGGAATGTATTCAACACACATATTATATCTTTTTAAAATTTAGAAATAGGATTATTTTTTTTATACATTCAACTGACGCGTTCATACGATTCTCTTAGCGCACTGTATACAAGTATTTCTCACGTACTTGTGGTAAAAAAATTAACATCTTCCAACTCATCTAACGGAAGATTTATTTCTTAATGACGAAAAAAATTTCAGAAGCTTATATAATTATTTGCATTACCTACGTCATTTTCTTTCACGTTTCGCATCGTCCGATAAGAATTTTTCGGAAGATAATTGTACCAAGGAAACAATGTTGATGTTTGTTAATTAAACGCGTGTAATTGCGATAACATTAGCGGTTAAGCAACGTAGCTAATACAATATACTAATCGATTGGCAAACATGTTGAAAGCGACTTTTTTAATGATTATTTGTTTGATTGTATTTTACGTAACCGGAAAATATACTTCGCTTATTGTTGTTAAACAACGAAGAAGATTGATGTACTTGTGAAAAAAACTACATTGACGTACGAGATCACTTTATTGTTTCAAAGAATGTCAAAATGTCAAAAACGACTTGTGACTCCAGTTCTCGAAGATTACAAATTTTTCCAAAGAAGTCACGCGATCAAACCATTTATTCGAGATTTCGGTCGACCTGAGCGGATCACGTCGTTTTTTAACAGTAGGGAATTTCAATAGCAGACGTTCATAAGTCATCGAGTTTTCCACTTGAGGGAAATTTTCAGGAACAACAATTAAGTTACAATTTAATTGAGCAAAACACGAAATACTATAAACGTCACCAAAAGCAACTTGGCAGCGGTGGGATTCGAACCCACGCCTCCGAAGAGACTGGTGCCTTAAACCAGCGCCTTAGACCGCTCGGCCACGCTACCGCTGGTCAGACGAGTGATTACGCGGCCAACAGATTTGGGATCTCCACGTCTAATTCGTCTATTTACGATACGAAAAAAAATTTCAAACCTACAATGTATTTTGGGGCCCACGTTTTAGCATATTTATGTGCACGGGCACGCGAGTTGCCTAATTTTCTAGTTTATATACATGTACCAAAATGTCAAACTTGAATGTTTGCCTCAATGCAGCACACGTTATGAACACTTTATAAGATGACCACATTAATTTTGCGCAAACAACAGCTTACCAACAAAAACCTGTAGTAACTGGTACATAAATCCTCGCAAAGTAAATTTTCGAAAATTAAAAAAAAAAAAACAATCAATCGATGGAAAATTTATAAATACGAAAAGTTCAGGAAAAAATTGAAAAACAACACACATTTCAATAAAATATGGCAGTATAGTTTTGTTTATGGTGAATAATTTAGTAACCGTGCCTTGAATGCAAAAACTGAGTCATCGCATTTATTTGCTTTTCTTCAATGTTTATTAAATCGAAAATTAAACATTTGAACACACGCGTTCTCCGTCAATGATTTTTCTTATCCGTTTGTACAAATTCATCGTAAACCTGATGATGCTTGTGATATTTCAGTGAAATGATTAAGGATTGTTGAAAAAAATCTCATACTACTTTTTTTTATTTCAAAACCCTACGTTATTACAATTATTGTTATTAAAACACTATATTCATCGCAATGCTTATACGAAATACAAAATTAACTGCATAAATAAAAATTTAAAAAATGCGCAAAAACTTGTGGTGAAACGTACGTTTATCATCCACAGGGCACATAACTGAAAATTAAAAAAAAAATAAAAACTTTTACAACAAACGACGAAAATTATTTTCACGAGACAAAATACGACGGACCCGCATTAAGCATCGCATTACGATCAACGGCCTCGTTTCATTTTCATGAAAATGTCGCATCACTCATTAATACTTTTGAAACGGAAGTATAGTATACACTTGGCGAACCCAAATATGTAACAATGCATATTTACGAAAACACGCGGATACCTTCCACAAAAGCCATTTCATGAAAAAGTAACAAGATTCTCAAACCCACGGCAACTGACTTCCGTGACAATTGCGGCCCCGCTGTTATAACGTGACACGTCGCGGTTTCGTGATCGTCCAACTTTTTTTTTTTCATCGAGAAATGTAACATTCATCATCTGGAAATAACGCATTCACATCCGTTCACCTTACGAAATGTCATTCCTGCATTTTTTGTGGTGTGTATATTATACTAGGTACATGCACATTTGGATAGGTCGGACATAGTGATTTTTCTGCGATTCGTTGCTACATTTTTTTTTTTTTTTTTTTAGAACAGAGGATTGACGAGAGTTGTCGTGCAACGGGCTCGTTATTGCGCCTAGACTAGACGTTCCATCGTCTTTTTTTGCCATTGAACTTTTGATACATTTTTTTCTCTCGTATCTAATAATATGAATTGCGAATGCATAGGTATTTTATATTATATACATAATACACATTTTTGTAACACCTCGGTAGAAAGTGGAATTCCTATAGCCAAAAGGAAATGTATATAATGTCGCATGTCCTGCATAATTTTTTTCTTCTTCTAATGATGCTTCAAATATTTATTTTAACATCGCATCATCGTTCGGGTGGATGAGGTTTTTTTATAAAATAAAAACTCACCCCGTTACAGTATACGATTGGTCAAACGGATCTTGGTGTATTAGCATATTTTTATCACAATTAATATTTACCACGCAAAAGTTTTGTAAAAAACCATCAGTCATATTTTCCCTGCTATTTGACATCGATGAAAAAAAAAAATAAATAAATAAATAAGAAATTTATCACAACGTATAGTTAAAAGTGCGTACTTACAAGGTAATAGTTGTTAAGAAAATTTAAGTTGATTACGTTGGATCGCAACTATACATGACAAGTGCGATTATCCTATATTTTCATCTTCTTTTTATTCGTACGAATTTAAGTACAGAAATATCATATAGGTAAGTAAAACGCGCGTGACTTCTTTCTCGTTCGTGGGGCTAAAACGAAAGTCAATCTTTTCGTGTATAAAAACATACAGCTATATATTAATATTGTATACTTGGAACTTACGAGTCGGAGATCGATGTCCCTTGGGTTTATATCTATACTCACCCAAACGCGTATTCGGTTTCCGTCCTTCTTCCCTTCCTTCCTTTACTGGATGAGGTTTATATGCTTGTGACATCGCAAGCAGCCAGGATACTTAGTTTGACTCTCGCGCTCGTGCAGGCATGCACTTTCTCTCTGGAAAAAATTCGGAGTGAAGTGGAATAGAGACAAAAACTTGGTTTTTTTAATATTATTTTTTTGTTTGTTTGTTTGTTTTTCCAATGCTTTTCCTTTATTTTCTTGGTAAGTTTTCAAAGAGATCAACAAATAAAATTTCGTACCGTTTGTGACACGTAGCAGTATTGGACTGTGCGCAGGAAGTAACGATGCGAAAACAGGGAAGATACAACTATGTTACCGCAAATCAAAGCTGTATCCATTGTTATAAATTTTTATCTAATATTGTCTAATACGAAATTAACTCGTGGAAATTCCTCGAAAAACAATGACGTTTCTTGTGGAAGGTTTTTCAAGTGTCTCCAGCGGGTGCCGTTAAAAGAGAACTGTTTATCCGTTAAACGTAACCGAAACGATGTTTTATAACCAAGTCATTGAGCCAAAAAAAAAGATGCAACAAGTAAATTAAACTGTAATAATTATTTGCACCTCCTAAAAGTGTAATATTAATAATCAAACTCCCCTAAAATAAAATCGGCATAAAATGGTAAAAATTGGCACGTAAAGTATAAAAAAAAAAAAAATAATAATCAAAAACAAAAAAACTCCCAAAAGTTATAAATACAAAATAAAAAAACGAAAAACAACCTTAACCATTATGAAAACTAACACACAAAAACCAGTCCGCTAGTGGTGACGCATTAATAAAAAGTAACCCCTGTAAAACCCCCGTTAACCCACGACAACGACAAAACCCCGCAAGTAGACGGCACAAGTCGGAGCGCCAGAACCAGCAAACGACAGCGACACGAGAAACAGCATCGACAAACAACCGAAGCATCAGCAACAACAACAGAGCATCATCGGACAGTGAGGTAGCACAGGGCGCCGGGGGCGCCTGGGCGAGGGAAAAATGTCACTTTCACGAGGGCGTGGACGTGGACCAGTTGGCGCGCTACCGGCGCAGGCGGATCGAGGTGCCCCGGGCCAAGCATGGACTGGACATTGGGATTACACCACAGTTGGAGGAGGAGGAAGAGCAGAAACGGAAAGAGGACGAGAAGGAAAAGGAAATAAAGGAGGACGAGGACGAGAAAGTGAGGAGACGGGTTACCGAGTATAGGCTCGCCTTCAGGGCCACGAGCACCGATGATGTCTTCCGGGCTAGTCGGGTGAGTGTAGAATTTGTTTTCTTATCATTTTGTGCAAGTCAATTTAATGCAAAAACCAAATAATAACCGTGTCATTTTTTTTCTTTTTCTTTTTTTTTTTTGCTTCTATTGGTATATTGTACGTTACGTGTTTTTAAACTTTTAAGCCGTTCGAATTCAAGTATTTGAATTTTCTTTGTATTTTTTTTATTTTTATTGGGTAAAACCAAGAGAAATCCTAATGCTCTTTCTCAACTGTTATTCCTCGATTTTTCGCACCTATTAAATAATATTCTTAAGGACGTTCATACAGACGTCGTTGCTAAATTTTGTGGTTTCACAGCGCATAATGACCGGTTAAATCAACAATTTTCCACGTAAAGATTTCTCAAAAAAGTTTCCTTTCCCTATCAGTCTTTAAAGAATCGGGTGCGATCGGCAATCAACCGAACGTTACATAAGCTCCAATTGTATTAACATACATATGTATATACATTTCTGATATCTTGGGTTGGAGTATACATACACTATGTAATTTTGTCACGTGTATTATGATGTATATAAAAAATCAAAACCCCCGCACCCAGGAAACTACGCCGAGACCAAAGAGTCAACTCGACAACGTAGACAACTATTCTTCAGTGGATCCACGGGCTTCCTACAACGCACCGTTGACCAGCGAGACAACCGAGCCAGCAAATGCCGATCAAGAGGACAACGGGGCCTCGCACTTTGCATCCCAAAAATCTCAAACTAGACTCGATTTCGACAAAATCGCCGAAATGGGCTCCGACGTTTACAAAAGACAAGCGCCCATAAGACGGTCAGTGCACTCCCTTCCATACAGCTCTCGAATCATTCTATAATACACGCATTTACATAACGAGGAACAAAAGCCTCAAGTGCATGTAACATGTATATATATACATGTAATGATGTACGTATACACATGCAGTCCCACGACTCTGCGGTACGAGGGTGACTTCTACTCGGGCACGGAGTACTCGACGCTGTTCGTCACCTACCCGGGTAACCACCGTTCCGAGCTCCGGCGTAGAGGGACGTCACTGCGAATGGAAGGGGATTTCGAGGGGCGCACCGAAAATAACGACTCGTTCAGAGAGTGGCCCGTGACCCGGCGTCCGCGGCCCGATCGTGGGACGCGCTTGAGCTCGAGTTTGAGGCTCGAGGGCGATGTCGAGGCCAGGACCGAGTGCAAGGCGCAGTACGTGCCGTTCGTGGGCGCGAGGAGACCGGAGCTGCTCAAACGCTCGTCCCAGCTGAGGATCGAGGGTGACGATAGATCCTGGACGCCCGAGTACGCCGATCTCTTCAGGGGATTCGATTTTTTTGGTAAAACCATGTCACTATTTTTTTTTTTTTTTTTTTTTTTTTTTTTTATGGTGGTTCTTCTCTTTTTATCCTGTTTCGAGGGGCTTGCGTGTGGAAAACGCGAAATGGCCAGGGTTTGTTAAATTCGTATACGTTTTGTATGAAAAAGAATTTTTTATTTTAAAAAGTTGAAAAAGTATCCGTTACCAAGTCTCATGGGTACAAAGAGCCAATACTTTGCGCCTATACTGGTGAAAATCGAAGGTCTTCACTGTGGGTGTCATGATAATTTACTCGGGGACGTACGTGTAAGTTATTTTTTCGGGGTCGAAGAGTAGAGTAGAACTACCATTTTATATATAACTACTACTTTGTATAAAGTTGGGTGTTAATATTGATGAGCCTATACTATTTATGTACGTCGTTTTGGATGAGATGTTATGATTTTTTTTTTTTTTTAACTTATTCCAGATAATTATGAAAAATTATTTCAGTAAGTTGTAGAAGTAGTTAATTATTGTACACATGTATAACCCATTATTATCTATCAATGTAATTTATGAAGAAATTTTGATTATTTAAAAACGCAATGTAATGGATTTTATGATACTTTAAGGTTTTGGAATACTTCGCTTAACTGGACGGTAATGAAAAAAGAAAAAAAAAAAAAAAAAAAAAATTTAAAGAGTTCACTTTTCTCGATTTTAAAAACGAAACTCACTCATCATCGACTGCTTTAACGTCTTGACGAGCATTTAATTTATCATATCAGCCTTATCGTCGCTGCACGCTGTTATATAATGTTACCACATCACTTGCAAGTGAATGAATTTTCGTGCATCCTTGTCCGAGCATGCTATTCAACTATTTAGTGTACAACGTATTAATTGCCATTGTCAATTAATTTAAAACGTTGCATCAAGGGGAGAAAAAATATATACTGGCCTCTGAAATGCAATCTACTTTACCGACATTTTGGAGATTTTTTTATTATTTTAATCATACAATTGACTTGTAAATTTTAACAAAACACTAAAAAATTTGTTTTTCATGTACTTAATTTTTTTAAATCATAGGCTTTGCAACGGTCCAATGAAGCGAACATGCTATTATTATTGGATGTTGCTTCTAGTTTTGTGTCATTTGATAACATTTAATGAGAAAAAACACTTTGTCGGTAAGGTAGAGCACCTTTGGATATTTTCAATCCCCTAAGTCAGGATACATTTTTTTGTTGACAAAAACTAAAAAAAAAAAAGTTTCTCAACCCCGTTTTCGCAGATCGTCCAAAACGGAAAATGCCGGTACCGAACCTACGGCCGGACGGCGGGTTTTACGATCAAACGGAGTCCAAGACATTTTTCACTGACCCGCGAGTCAAGGAAATCGAGCTGATGAAGGCCGAGGAGGAGCGCAAGAAGATGGAAACGGAGGAGATGCCGAAGAAACGGGCCAACGACGAGGAAGACCAAGAGGAGGAGGAGGAGGAAAGGGCTCGACTGAAGAAGGAGAGCGAAATGAGGATGCTGGTGTCGAAACTCGAGGACCTCAAAGGACCGCAGCTCGAGATACCGGAGTACAAGGCCGCGTACAAGGTATACCTCATGAAATCGCTCATTTGTCTCGAAACTATATGCGTTGGAACCTGCGATTACTATTTCCATGAAAATAATAACACATTCTCGAGTTCTGTTGTTTCTACTTACCTACAGTTATGTATATCATCCGACACTTTTAACGAGGATGATAACAACAATTGTTTTTTTTAAATAAAAAACAGACTATCGTTAGAAATGATGCACATGAAAATAGATTACAGCATGAAAAAGAAGAAGAAATGAATATTTACGTGGTAAATATTCATTGCTATTATAATATTGTTTCTGTAGTTTCTGTTGTTCATGGGTGAACAATAATGAAAAAAAAAAATCATTTTAAGAACTTCACAAAAAAAATGACTCATTAATAGAGAAAAATTTTCTTTTTTCTAGTGTGGCGTACGTTTTTATGATATTTTTTTTAAATAATTCAGTAATAATGTTGTTATTATTTTTTGTAAATGCTATCGAAGTCGAACAACTGTTAAAAGTTAAAATTAACATCACCCCCATTAAACATGAATGGTCTCTATAAAATGTAATATTTAACGTGTATTAAACAACTAGCAAAATCGAGGTATCTATACGTATGTTGATATTTTGTTTCAAGTACGCTTCATCGTGTATTTTACAACAAAAGTGTACAACGTATTATGGTCTGATAATAAGCTACTGGCACCCGTATAGGCTAAGACAAAAAAAACTACTGAAAGAAATATGCATGTTTGTAGTTCCGAACCGCAAATTCGGTTGTAAAAACTAGTAGGAACCGAAAAACATCGCAATGCCAATACTTAGGAAAAAAAAAAAAAAAAATAACCAAACCATGTGCACGTTTTTTCCCAAGGAATTCCCGCGCGAGCGAGCAAAACTAGCCAAGCCGGGCAACGAGATCGGCCTGTCGGACGGCAGCAAGGTGCCGAACCTGTCGCCCCGGCACTTTACGAGTAAAATCGACCAGGACCCCGAGTACAAGTCCATGTACGTCGAGCACCGGCCCCGGGAGCCACCACCCCGAGGGCTACCCTCCCGACGACCCTCGGCTTCGTCCTCCTCGGTGAACAACAGCCCGTTCGGCTTTCACTATAACCGCAGATCCCGTTTCGGCGAGCCAGCGCGGCAGCAACCCTTGACGGAGATACGCTCGCAGTACGTCGATTATGGCCCGGTGCCCCGCACGGAGACCTTGCGCGCGCCGGCCAATCTGAGGTGAGGGAGATTTTTGTGTTCGGCTGGTGGAAGATGAAGGGATCGGGTGTGATGTTAAACATATTATATAGAGACAGGGCAGATTTTAACAGGGGTACATTGTTTTCTCACAATTTTTTTTTTTTTTTTTTTTTTTTTTTTTTTGAC